AGGGAATATCGAGTTTCGACAAACTTGCATGTCTGCAAGACTGCTAAAAATGATGATGATAACCCATCACTTCTCTGTACTATCAGATTGCTCTGATAGAGCAATCGCTGATCGACTGATCAATTATGATCAACAGATTCCTAATTCTCTTTCGTAGGACGGTGAAAAAAGATATTACCTTTACCGGAAAAGTGAACTTTGCAAAACATCGATCTGAGATGCCATTTCTAAAGGTCAGATATCATAATTCTAGGATATTCTGCTACTTCAGTTCTGATGGTTCTTGATGACGACAACAAGACAAAAGCCTTCGTAGCACGTCGCAAATGGCAGAAACCATTGAAGAGGCAGGTGAATTTGGCCCAGTCTGTCCAGTACGAACTGTACCTACTGAAGGATCCGAAAGCTGAGAAAGTATCCGAAAATTTCTACACTCAACGCCATGAAAAACAGGCTAGAGAAAGAAAGGACAGCTACAAAAACACAGGTTTCAAACATATGTTATATGGTATTCATCATACGAAATAAATGTTAAAAGCTAAGCAAGGGGCGAAAAACCGACAAGAGAAATAAACGAAGAAGCACGTTTGAACGACAGATAACGAACAGTCATTAACTGATCAGTAGGTTCTAATCATATGAAACGAGTATTTAGTAAAATTTGAAATTCTATATGAGGGATGATTATTAATTCGAAACTGACAGTGTATCAATTTATAGTAATTGTCGAAAGTGCTCATTTTTAACTAAGGTAAAAAAAACCTCTATATTATTTGGCGAATAGATGACGGTGAGAAAGAGCGCAAGTTACTCTATGGCCATATAATTACGACCAGCGGCTGAATTATTCTAGAACGGTTCCAACGAAGAGCAACAGATTTTTGTGGCTTTCATGGACATTTATAAGGATTCTGAAATCATTCACTTTAAACTATGACCAATTTGCAAAGCAAATCGTCCAGAGCTTTGGACTTACTGAATAAGAAGGTAAATCAACAATGATCTGCGATCTTTAGGTGAAAAACTTTTAGTCCTTCAACTAAACTTGAAACCGGCACGAAAATTCTGAAATTTAATAGTATTCTAATTTAAGAAAGGTATGCTCACGGTTCATTCGGGCATCCGTAATATCATAATCCTTATTCTATTATCGCCATACTATCAGGGACCGATTTATCACAAATTCGTCCCCATTTTTTTGAAGCCACGAAGGCTTGAAGGTAGTTTAGCTCCGCTAGGCAACCTCAAAAGATGTTGGGCTTTGTAAATGCAAAAAACGAACGGAACCTCTACTAATAAATATGCATGTTAAATAAATTATAATGAAGCAGCGTCAATTCAAGCATTTAAATTAAAGCTTTTATAATAACCCAGGTTAGGCATAAATCGATGCTATTAGCGATATCTCGGTTATGTATAGATGAGCTGCGTATGGAACATCATTAGCAACAAGCCCGTGACGCTTTCGGAAATAGAAACATGGAATTAATTCAGAATATGACCCAGTCCCGGTTCGATGAAATTTCCAAAACTTCCCCATTTGTTTATTTCAAATATTTTTTTCAATAGATACGGCCAATTGCAATGCATTGCACAAAGAATGGATTGGGTTGGATGGTAGCAATTGATTGTCGTTAAGCAAAATTTGGGATGTAAGTCACGAAGCTTGTCACTCATATTGCGTAGGTGGCTACAGCTACACAGAAATCTGATCTGATTAGCAGAAATTTGGACACAAAAGGTACATCAGCTAATCTGGTTTGACAAGGTAGATAAAAACAGAGAGCAGTTATTGGTATGCAGTTGCAAAAAGAACTGTAACAAGTGTTTACCCTGTGGCTCTGCCCTTTTAAATAAACCAGGCTATTGAGTGCTGTTTCCAAGAGGCAAACTGGTAGATGGTATACTGCAGTTATCTGCCAAATTGCATTCGAAAGCGAATTTGTTACGAAAATTTATCCTACGATTATAACTCTAATGTATCAGTTGCAGCTCTGAATTCTATGTTTGAAAAGAATCGATTTTAAATTCCACAATTTGCTGAACTTAACCGTTGATGATCCCAAGCCAAGAGAAAAACGAGGAAGGTAGGAGACGCAGCGAAGTCACCGCAAAACTTACCAATCTGACCCGCGTAGTATAGTCGCCATCAAAAATCAGGCCGCCCTGACCGTCGCCCGAGTTACCAAGGGCCGTACGGGCCGTAGAGGAAATGAGTTAGCTTGCGAAATGTCAGTAATCAGAACCTCCCCATCGCCTCCTGGCAGGTTTGAAGAGAGCATTAGCAGCACGAAAACGACTGTCGAAAATCGACTAAACG